AAAAAAAAAAAGAAATGCATTTGTCAAAGTATTTTATAGAACTAAGAGGTCAATTTATTTTGAGGGAATGTCCTCTGTTTCAAATTATCAATGGGGCAAAATAGCTGTCCTTTGTGAGGACACTGGCACAGAGTATACTGTAGAGTTATATACAGTAAATGATGTTAAAATAAACCATATCATGGGAAACTGACAGCATATTGTCAAAAATATGACGTGATCCTTTGTTTGAAGTGTTGGCTTCTTTCCATCGAAAACAGCTAAACAGGTCACTTCTTTAAGGCTCAGTGGAAAAGCACTTGCCTAGCATGCACAAGGATTTCATCTCTACTATCACCACAAAAAGAAAAAAAAAAGTTACTTCTTTGCACATAAAGCGCGTCCAACCTCTGGCTTATACATATGTAAGGGGCACTGATATAAGTAGATTAACCAACATGTCTGCCATACTGGACAAGTGTCTAGAATCTTTTCTTTTTTWAAAAATTTTGGCCATTTTATTTATTTATTTACTTATTTTTTAGTTTTCGGCGGTCACAATATCTTTGTCTGTATGTGGTGCCGGGGATCAAACCCCGGGCCGCACGCATACCAGGTGAGCGCGCTACCGCTTGAGCTACATCCCCAGCCCCTAGAATCTTTTCTTCAGAGAATCTGCCTGTTCTTTGGAATGACTGAAGGGACTTCAGTTTCTTCATCTGTAAAATGGTGGGTTTTAGTCAGCTTTTCCATTGCTGTGACCAAAAGACCCAAAAGAATGACACAAAGGAGGAAAAGTTTATTTGGGGCTCCCGGTTTCAGAGGTCTCAGACCATAGATGGTTGATTCTGGTGCCCTGGGTCTGGGGTGAACATCATGGCGGAAGAGTGTAGAGGAGGAAAGCAGTTCAGGACATGGCAACAAGGAAGCACAGAGAGGGCTGTACTCATAGGAGACCAAATAAACTGCCCTAAAGGCACCTCCTCAGAGACCTACTCCTCCAGCCACACCCTACCTGTGTGCTATTACCACCCAGTTACTCCATCCAGGTGGAGCAATGCACCCATTAGGTTAAGGTCTCATAATCCAACATTTCACCTTTAAACTTTCTTGCATTGTCTCACACTTGAGCTTTTGGGGGACACCCCATTGTGATCATTAATAATTGCTGATYATTGATTATGGCCATCAGGATACTAATATCAGA